CACTTGCCACGGACATGTGGGAAGAACTGGCAGGCGTTTTTGGACATTTTTTTTTGGGTTGTGTGGGGGATGGGAGGGTGGATGGAACTGTGGATATGCAAGCGGAAAATGACTTTTACCCTGTGTGTCGTGGTAATTGGAAAAGCGTTTAGTCCCAGACGAACTCAATTTCATTCCCGGCAACATTTTTAATGATGCTCTTAATTATCGCTGTGGGAAATTATTCATTATCACTAATTTGCCGCAACTTTGGACGGGGCCAACACACATCCACCCACTCACATGATGTGGGGCCACTCTAAGTGCAGCTTGGAAGTCTTTAGCGGCGTCTATTCCCTCATCCTTCATCATAGTCCGCTGCTCCTCCTCCACATTATACTCGAGTCTCTTCTGCTGCTCTCCAGCATCTGGTAGAATCCTCCTGGATTTTCGCCTGCTTCTGCTGCTACACCGTGTTCTCCGTAAATCTCACCTGCATATACCACCGGCTTCGCTCGTTAACACCTCGTTGCAAAGACAAACAAACAAACAAACCAAGAAGCAAACAGCAACTACAGCTACAGCTACATTCGGAGACAACGAAAACAACAAGTTTGGCCAACATGGCGGCTGTGTCATTTCCGTTGTCGTTGCTCTCGTTCTCTCTCCTTAGATTGCTGTCCAGAGGGTATCGTGACTTTACCAAGAAGTATGCAACTTGCAAGAAGAGGCATCCAAAAATATCTGTAAAAAGCTGTTTCCGGCTATGTGTCTGTTTATTTTGCACAGATCCTTCATCTGGCATCATACAAAATATTGAAATTAAATAGAATTCACTTTTCTTCAAATATAAATGTATTTTTAATATAGAAAACCCTTAATATAAATATAAAACACATTAACAGATATACTAAATTAAAGTTTTATGAAATATATTTAATCTAAATATAACGAGAAGGAACGTGTGAGTCGCTTCTGTGGACGCGACTCTACTTTTATACCCGTACTCAGTCAGTATATAAATTTGTAAGCTTTTTTTGCACATCTGTCATCTACATCTAACATGTTGATTTTACATCTGAAATATAGAAATCTGAAATTATACTTTATACAAAATATAAGTAAAAATATTTCCATTTTAATATTTTCACTCTCTGTGGCTAAATATTTAAATCTAAGCGAACTACTTGATTCTGAGTGTTTTTTTCTTTGGGTGTAATTTTTACTTAAGATTTATTTATGTTTACTCCGATGATGTGCCATTCAGTCAAAGGCTTAGAAGTGTATTCCATCTTTAGCATTCGAACATAGATTTTCTGTTTTTTGTTGCCGTTGTTTGGTTTGCTGGTCCATTCCACCAGATTTTGCATATTTCCGTTCTGTGTTTGGAATTTTTAAGTGAGTGCGCTCAACTTTGTCTGTTGCTGCTGCCGCTGCTGTGATTGTTGCTGATTTGTGGCTGCTAATGCAGCTGTTTGTTTCCGTTTGTTAGCCTTCACGGGCTGATGTTGTTCCTGTTGGAAAGTTGTACACGACTGTTGCCCCTCCGGGACCTGACAGCTATATGACAATATTTTTTTGGGTTCTGCAAAAGTTTCAGCCGGGGATTGGCCCCCGAAGTAAGCTTTTATCTTTTGTCAAAGGGTTCAATAAACTTGCTCGAAAATCCCCTTTCCAAATACCCGACTTAAAAAAGCGACCCCAACAGCCTTCCCTTCCGCTACTTTGTGGAGAGTTCATAACTTTTGCATTTGCACTTAATTAAATGACTGGGAAAATGGAATATTTTTCACATGCAATCAGCGCAACCTGCAACGTCTCAGATTTTAACTTAATTTATGGCCCACAGCCAACAGGCGATAATTGAAATTATATAAAAGGCGGCGGCAGTGGCGGTGGCAGCGGCAGCACCGGCGAAAGGAGTTTGCTGTAAATAAAATAAATCTGTGCGAGGCGTTGTCGTACCCGTTGAAAATTTACGCGCTCTGATAAAAGTCCTGTCCAACAGTGAGAACTGGGGGGATACAGCGGGAGCTTTCGGGTAGATTGGCACGTGCAACTGCAGCCAGACGACAGCACCGATAAAATATGAGCTCGAAGAGGAGTTTTGGGGAGGGGGCTGGGGAGGCCATGCAAGTGGATTTGCCTGTTCCATCTGGGGCCAGAGGTTGAGGCCTTTAAATTGAATTAGCATCTGCAAAGCGAGGAATCTTATGAATTTTTAATGGTCGCATCCTTTGGAAATCGCTTGGGCATGAGCCATGGAATTCGAATCGATCCAATTAGGAAATCGGTATATTTTTTGCTCTGCATAATTGCCTGTGTTTTGTCGCTGTATGACGGTAAGGTTGCCTCAACAACGGCGGCGTCTATGGCTCTGCCTCATTATCAACTCAGTTGTCGTAGCCGTCGCTTCTTCTCCCTGCCTCTGATCCTTCCCCAGCCCCATCCGTCCCCAGTTTTAGCTGCCTATCCTACCATCTTTAGCGACAATTTTTTGTTCCTTAGACGCCGGCAAATTTATCGCTCATAATTATTTCATTTTACAGTCTGCTGAAGTTCTCAGGCAAACGACCTGGCTGGGACGCCCATTGGCAGCGTGTCTTTGACGTCCTTTTAAATTTGAGCCATTTGTTTGTTCTTGTTCTTGTTCTCGTTTTTTGCTTTTTTTGCCCCATATCGAGGGGCTCTTTCATATTTTATGAGGTGTTTGGTATTGGCTTCTCCATAAAAGTTTTTGGCTTAGTCTAATGCTGCTTAAAAGGCATTACACAAATGCAAACTCTCTCGCTCCCTCGCTCCTGGACGCTGGCACAGTTTTCACATGTTGCAAGTCGTTATTGTTCTACAACCCCCCTCTAAGCCGGGACTTTCTTCTCCACCTCCTGTGCGTATGAGTGTGTGCTGGTGGGCGGGTGTTAGTGAGATGCAAGAGAGGAGAAGAGGGCGCCAATCAACACACTTGACTACGCGGCAGGTCGCGGGTGTTGCCGTTGCCCCAGCTCTGTGCTGCATTAGCATAATAAAACAACCGAGGGGAAAGTTTTAGTCCAGGATTGCACTGTTATCATGCAACAACTGACATACCCAGTAGCAAAGGATAATACAATCCAACGAATACGTTTCGGGCATGAGGTAAATTATGCCAATATCCTTAGACTTTATTAGGAAAACGATATTGAGACAGTAAAGCTTTTCTTTATAAGATATATATACTGTACGTCTTTTTAATCGCACTCTTTTTAATCATGATGCAATTAATAAGTCATTTGATACGAAGATTATGCACTAAAATATATGTACACCTAAACACCTATTCATGAATAAACATTGGCATACAAATTATGAAAAAATGTAAGCAATATTTTACTCCAGATGTTGGAGTATAAAAACTATGGAATCCGCGTTAATATTTTTTGTCATTATATAAAATAAGGGCATATAGCACATACATTAAATATACATACCTACATACCTACATACCTACTTAAACAAGTACATATATCACGTGAAAACGTCTAGGCAAAGAGTCGTATTATTTATCTATAAATTAGTAGTAAATCCTAATCAAAGTCCAAGTTATTTGCTGGCCTAATTTAAAGGCAAAACCAATGTACCTCACCATTCCACAGGGTATTTTATACATCAAAAGCGAGACCCGCAAAAGTGCAGAGCTGCTTTGGCAGGCTTTACGATGCAGGGGGAAAATACATTGCAGCAGTAGCAACAACAAAAAGTTTTAGTGTGGCGGGGGAGTCGCCTCAAAGAGGCAATAGTCGGGGGAACAATTAAGCAAACATGTACATACATATATATGAACAAACTACATACATACATGTGTATGTTTGTGTGTGGCTTAGTGTGTGCGAATTTGGGTAAATTGTTTTGCACTTAGCTAAAAAGTTGGCTACCAAATAAATACAGTTGCGAAGCGGCTTAAACTGTTATCTCCCGTGTTGTTTCACTTAGATGCGTTTCTGGGTTGGCAAAACATCGAATTGGGGGCGGATCCATTAATCACCAGCTGAAAGCCAGGCGCCGGCTTACGGATGCGCTTCAAAACATCGTCAGTTGAAGCATTGTAGATTGAGGGGGTGAGGCGGCGGATAGGTGAAATCATAGGCCAGCTATAGACACTTGTGTAATTGAGGAATTACACTTTGAATGGCAGGTTCTGTCTCTGGCTTAGGTCTGGAATCCACAGAAGGGGCTAAGTCGGACGAGTGACAACAGCCGCAGACAAAGTCAAAACATGCAGAAGATGGAAGAATGAAACGAATGTGTCCACAGATTCCAATCTGGATGGAGCTGGAGCTGGGGCTCAGTCTGTTGGAGTAATAACAGAAATGTAAGTGGGCTCAGGCCATTGACTATCGGAATCACAAGATAAATTGCACTTTGCCGGGGATCTATGGCTTCAAAATGAAACAGGGTCTAGGCTACTCCAACTCCTGCCCCACAATAGGCGTACCAGTTTTTTTCCACGCCAAAAAAGAGTTCGTGGAAGGTGGAATACGAGAAGAGAGAAGAAAAATTGAAAGAGAACCAGAGATGAGCATAAAGGCAAGCCGTGTCGAAATGCTGCTGACGTTTCACATTCAAATGTTGCAGGCATAGAAAAATTACAAGCAGTCGACTCTTTTTTTACTCTTAAAATAAATTCAGGGGTGCCACAGACTGACCGTCAAGCCAACGGAGCGCCACAGCATGCCGTCTCGGTTGGTTTTAAAATCTCTAGGACTATGACTAGAGATTTGGTTGAATTCACTGCTCAAAGAAATAGTTTATTGGATATTTTATTAAATTTTTACTTTATTTGCATTAGAATAATTTAAGATTTCAGTTGTTTTTGTCTCTTTATTTTCATTTTACGAATATATCTCAAAACCCCGTACTGGAAGTTTGCCATTTGTTGTCAACGTTCAAAACCAGCTAAAAAAGGAAAATTGAGGCTCGCGTCGCTAACTTCAATATTACATGTGGCTCAAAAATGTTTAGAACAGAAGCTTAAATTTATTTAAGCCTTCAATCAAAATGTAAACACATAAAAGGAATTGTGTGCTCGATTCATTTTAATTGAATAAAACACTGAATAATAATTTTTTTATTGCTTCAAAGAGACTGTTAAACCAGTGTTCGTTCTGTTATTATTGCCTTTAATGCATATTAATTAACATCGATTATGGGTGCTAATGGGCATTTTGTTTGGTTTTTTCCTTAGTCAATTAAGTTCCCGCATGCCGAGCGATGGTAACACTCAACTGCCATTAACCGTCTAATGTACTCTTCGGGAAGTGAAAGAAAAATGGAATATGGATTGTAAAGACAAGCAGGCGCAATGTGGCAAGAATGCGGAGGCAAGCAGGCAGGCAGGCGGCACTGATACAGGGACAGGGACCTGCAGGGACAGTCGGAACAGAGGCTCCGCCGAGTCTGTGAGATGGCATATAAATTTTGCGGTCTGTGGCAATAAATCAGCGTTTGGCTGTCACCCCATTTTGCCAGTGTAAATCGCAGCCCGACAAAGTCCCAGCACTCAGCTCTTCTTCTGTCCAAAGGTTTGCTCTCTCTTTAACTGGTCATTAATTACAAATTATATGCTGCTACTGTTTCAGCTACACCTCCGGCTTCATCTCCAGCTACAGCTTCAGCTCCATCTACATCTTCAGCTATGGTGTTCCTTTCGAGCTGTCAGCTGTCTTGCGAGTGTCGCCTGAACACAAATTAATGTTGACACCGTCGTTGCTTCTGGAGACTGCTCGAGTGCGGCTTCGTTAGGCGTTGATGCTGATGAAGAGAATGTGGATGATGATGATGATGATGGTGACGGTGACGTTGACGGTGAAGCTTGGCCAAGTGGCCGACGCGTTGCACTTCAAAGACGCATTAATAATTAATAAGATTGTAGGTGAAAAAAAAAATGTTGCTCAGTGAAGAGCCTTGGGGTCAAATTACTTGCCACTTGGCAGTTGCAAAGGTTTGCCCTCGACCGCTTTAATGGCTCGACTCCGTCTTTGTGCCCCCATCTCGCTCCTCGCCCCTTGCTATTTCCTGCACTGTCCCCTGTCTGCGTATGCAAATATTTGGCTTTCTCCCCGGGATACTTCGCACTCTGCCGCAACGCACTCACGAATTCCGTTTCAAATTCAGAAAAGTCATTAAATAATTTTCCACACTTGCACTTAACGCTAGAAGGAGGAGAGTCCGTCTGCTTCTGGTACTATCCCACACAAACACACACATAAACAGATGTTCATGTGGGAGGATAATGAGTGGCAAGGAAATTTTGGACGCACAAACAAAATTCTGTGTGAGTTTTTCCCTGCATTTCCCTTTGCATTCAGACCGCAGACTGGCATTTAAATATGATATGAATATACAATATATTCGTGTGTAGAGTCTTAATATATATTCCTGTATGTTGCACACTCAAGCCAGTGGCATCCACTCAGCCGGCTAAGTGGGCCCAAAAAGGCTGACAGAGAGCCAAGTCAATATTAAGCTACAGGCTTACGACCAACGCCTTCGGTGTTGTACTCTGTGGCTGTTTTTGAATCCATTCAAAGATATTTTAATTGATTCGCATCTGATGTGTTTGCCATTTGCCAATTTGCCAGAGTTATTTTGATGGGCACGGGCACGGGCAGGGGCACACCAACAAAGGGCGTCAATAGTCTGGCAATGAAGCTAATGTAAAGTCACAAACTGCCAAACAAGAAGTGGCAGGCATTGGTTCGGGGGGGCTGGGGCGGGGCGGCCAAGGACACGACTCAAGCAACATTTCCGGCTCGATTGCGGCTTATTTGATTTTCATTAGGCATAACTCAATTTGAAGCAAATAAAATGCGCTCAGCCGCAGATGAGCTGCTTATACAATAACAGCAGCAACAGAAACAGCAACTGCCACGGAGCACGCTCCGGACCCGGACAAACCAATGCTGAGGAGAATAAAGCGAACGGAAACGGAGATGAGATGAGAGATGGCAGACAACTTGGCCCAAGGGGTGAGCCAGGGGGGGCCCAAGGCAAGTCTTAGTGCTAAGGAACTTCCCCGACCGCCAAGTGAAGATGATAAAGTTAAACTACAAGCCACACGAACAATGGAGGCTGGCCAAGAGGGTTCTTCGTCGAGCTGCCTCTGAATTGAGAAAATCAAGTAAAAGCCAACCTTTTGATTTCACTTCCTGTTAATATTGTCCGGAATGAAGCAGCCGGAGGAGGATTTGTGGCAAGGCGGAGGCAATGTCTGGCAATGGAGTGAGGGGCCAGCATCCCACAAGCAGCAGGCAATGGCAAGCATAAGTAACTTTGGCAGCCGATTAAGGTGAGATGCCAGGCAATGCTTTAGGAATCTCAATTCAGGACCTAATCAGCTCTGTCTGCGTGTTGGTTTGTGGCTGGGGAGGGAGATGGAGTGTGTGTGTGTGTACACACGTGTGTGTGCTGTTCGACACCCTGGGGAGATCATTATATCGTCAGTTTAGCCCCAGTGAAAAGTTTTCTTACCTTTAGACTTCTTAGTCCTCTGCGCCTGATGAAGTATTTATGAGCCCACACATGGTGGTTCCGACTCCACCTCCCAGGAGTGCACAGGCGACAAAAGGTAAGCAATCGAACTTGATAATGAAATTGAGAATATATAGCGACTTAAAGAAATCAAAATTTTGTAATATCTTTTAATTTGTATTGTGTTTTATAAGAACTGGTTACGGAAAAAATTCGTCTTTTAGTTGAGGAAAAAATCTGAAAAATCCATGGAGAAATAATGCTTATTAGTACTAATTATTGATTAATATTGAAAAAAAAATCCTGGTCAATAAATAACATCAGAGACTAATAATTCTTTTATAATACATTTATTATTCCATTTTTTCATTTTTTTATGTCAGCTATGTAAATATATAAGAATTTTTACCACAATACTTAGGGAATCGAATTTCAATATATTAATAGTATCAAAATAAAATTATAAATATAATATTAATCAAATTGAATGTTGAAATATTAGGATTAGGAGACGTTAAATTCCCGAGGTATTAAATATAAGCATATGGAATTTTATCCTTTATCAAATACCATTTCGAAATAGGAGCAGTTTACCAATTTGGTCGCCTGTTATTACAAATATGCGTACAAACTTCTCCTCCACACACTCAAAATACATACATATGTACATGCACAGATGCATACATACATCCGTATCCATTCGTATTAGTTATTTTGAAAAGTCCTTATAGTTCTCTGTTTGGTTCCTTTCAAATCCTACGGGTTCGTGCCGTTTGTGATTCCACAACTATTTTACTTGCACGCAGTTTACCTCCTCACAATCCCTGCACCCCCCCGAAACACTCTCTCAGGGGGCAATCGCAATCCCAAGAGCAGACCAGACTTTTGCTTGCCTTTTATTTCAGTGTTTTACTTCACCTATTCATCCACGTTCGGCATAAGCTCAGTTTTCAATTTCATTATTTTTGCCCATGCTGGTTCTGCTCCTTGTTGGTCTTGTTGTTCTCTGCCTTTGTTTGCGGTAAACAGTTATGTATTATTTTGTGATATTATCAGTAAATATTTTCCCATTTTATTAAGCTTGAGCAGGAGCGGGAGAGCGGGCAGATCAGGGGGGAGGCCACCGAAATCGTAAGCTGAAATGCCAGAAGTGGTTGGGCAAAAGTTTTTGCTGTCTGTTGGCTAATACTCATACCCTTTGTCTTGCATCGGCTTTAATTTGCATTACCCTTTTACTCAAATAATTTGTATGCAAAAAGTAAACGCTTATCTTCTACTAAACATTAAATATTAAAGTTTATTGTGATAATACTGGACGCAGTCTTGGGTGCCTTAAGAAGGATAAATCAGCAAGGAGGGTATGCAATGATTCGGCTCCAGGAGTTAAGTTTACTTACTGGTTTTATTTTGTTTGGCTTTGCATTGTTGAGTTTGGTGTGGTTCGTGCGTGCCATTAATTAAATATGGATAAAGAAGCAAAAGTATCTTGCAGATAAATCTGTTAAGTGGGCGAGCAATTAAATCAAAACTAAATGCCGCCTTTCAACATGCCAAAGCCATTTATAAAAACCAACAGACAACGCAGAGACAGCACCCAGTCGACCCACCACTCAACCCACAGGCACTTGCACCCACAAAACCATAAAACAAAAGCCCGAACAAAAGCTAATTAAGTTTATGTCACCGGAAATTTGTTTCACCTCAAAAACCTCGAATTGTGTTGAGCGGAGGGGGCCCACCAGGCAGCACACAGGCAGGACCAGGAGCAGGAGAGGCAGGAGCAGGAGCAGCAGATAAAATGTACGTGGCCCCAGTTTGGATGCCACACGAAGCGGAACGGAGACGCAATGGAGCAGAGACAGATGGAGGATGGCTAAGAGGAAGAGTTCTGAAAAACTTTCATCTCGAACTTGTACACACTCATTGGCAATTAATCTGGTAGCCAGCAAAGACAAATGTAATGTGGCGCGAACATTTGTTCCCTCTGTGACTGCCATTGCAATTCCGTTCGTGCATTTCGAATGAAACTTTAGGCTGGCACTGGGAGTAGCACATAGAACAGGTTGAGGCAGTGGCACGCTGGCGATGGCCACCGCACTAATGAATTGATTATCTTAATTTGCACCAGCTCTCTCTCCCGCTCAAGTTCATCGTGCATAACTTAGATGGTGTCAACAAGAATTATTAGCTGTTTGGCCCGATACGAGGGGACAGGATAGTGTGCCCTGTCCATGGGTCTCTGTCAGATCCGGAGTGGGCCTGCTGCGTGTTAAGTTGATTTACGAGCAGTTTGTGGCAAGCCAGCTTGACGCTTTATGGTCGATTTTTATGGCCCTCTGCAACTTTGCAAGTGCAAATGCAGCGCCTGGAAACTTATGCGCCATATAACCCAAAAGCGAACGATTGCACTTTGAACTTTCGCCCCTAACATAGCAGTAGCTCTACTCTTTTGGCTACCCACCCCCAGCTGGTAACTTTTTGCACCTTGTGCACATTGTCATTTGGCCAATTACATGGTGGCTTCGTTGGCTTCCATCTGATGTTACTTGGTTTCCTTTTGCGGATGAGCCTTAAATGGGCGTGGACAAGCGCACACTTGACGCCGTATTGACGATGCTGCCAAGCTTCCTCTCAAGTGTGTACTTATGATTCCTTCCACTATTTTTAGGGATTTTTAGTTTGTGTTTCTTTTGGCACAAGTTCTGGGCTGGGCTGGGCGGTACTGCGGCTGCGGCTGGGTCTGGGGCAGGTGTCGCTTTTTCACACCTCGATGACTGTTGGTTGGCGGCGGCTGTCGTTGCTGTCGTTGCCGATGTCGATGTCAACCGTGTGGCGCCGCCCCGATGTCAACAACTCAAAATGCTTCCGTGCAATCGCTTTTTACAGCTTCCGAACAATTTGATTTGATTCCATTAAAAAAGTTGCTCTAGTGATTTCCGTCAAGTTCTCACCTCTCATCTCTCTCTCTCTCTCTGCTTCCATGGCACTGGGGAAAGTTGGCAGCAGTTGCAACGGATACGACATCGTTTTTTGGCGCCCAACCCCATCAACGCCTTTGCTGCTGCTGTTTCGGAGGGCTTTGCTTTGCTTTGATGGCATGGGGTTCGTTCTCTAAATAATTGTGACATTGGCACGTCAGCAGCGTGCATGGCGGCGCCAAGTGTTTCATGCTCTTAAGCGCCCCCACTCATCGCCGGCGTCGATGCATGTCATTTGCTGGCAGATTGACAAACTTTTGTGCGTTCATCAGTATGGCTGCACTGAGAAGAAATGCAAGCAACGAAACAGCGGCTGATCTTCGATGGGAAGCCAACCAATCTGATATTAAGATGGCTGCAAGGGTTTTTTCTGCCGATTAATAAATTCTTTTATATATTTTTTTAAATTATATCTTTC